TAGCATGTCGACCACAGACTTGAGCTTAGCATCTGCCTGTACTTGCTCATCAAGATCCGCAAGCAGCAATGAATAAGGGACAACCAGGACATCGAGGGAGGGAAGTGGCTCACGACGGGACAAGGCATCCGCGGCCTTGTTGTCCAAACCGAGCTTATAGTGAATATCAAAGTCGTACCCCTTAAGCTTGGTGAGCCATTTCTAATACTCGGCGCTAACCTCCTGTTGCTCCAACAAGTACTTACGGCTGCGTTGATCGGTGCGGACCACAAAACGGCGGCCAAGGAGGTAGTGGCGCCACTTGCAGATTGCCAACACAATGGCATGCTTGAGGCGTGAAAAGGCCTTTGCCGCTGCGACATCCCAATGGAAACTGTTGCGTTTGAAGAGTTGGGTCAGTGGCCATGCCAAGGTGCCATATCCTGCCACAAACCGACGGTAGTACCTCGTGAGCCCCAGAAATCCCCGCAGTTCCCGCAGCGTAGTTGGCGTCGGCCAATGGAGCATGGCTGAGATCTTAGCCTCATCTGCGGCAACCCCTTCGGTCGAGATGATATGGGCCGAGATATTCCAACTGAGTTTGACCGAATGCACACTTATTCTCATTAGCAAATAATTGGTGCCCCCCGAGAATGTCCAACACCTTTCATAAGTGGATAATGTGATCGTCCATGTTCCGGCTCTACACCAAAATGTCATCAAAGAAAACAAGTACAAAGTGCCGTAAATGCTCTTTAAAGATTTCGTTCATGAGGGCTTAGAACGTTGTCGGGGTGTTGGTGAGCCCAAAGGGCATTACCAAGAATTCGTAATGGCCGTCGGGGGTTCGAAAGGCCGTCTTTTGGATGTCCTCTTGCCTCACTCGGATTTGATGATATCCGGACTTGAGGTCGAGTTTAGAGAAAACCGTGGTCCCCTGGAGCTCGTCCAATAACTCATCAATCATCGGAATCAAAAACTTGTCTGGCACAGTTGCCTTATTCAACGCTCGGTAGTCCACACAAAACCTCCAACTACCATCTTTTTTTTAACTAGCAAAACGTGACTTGAGTAAGGGCTAATACTAGGCTGAATTATCCCTGCTGCTAGCATCACCTTCACCAAGCACTCAATCTCACCCTTTTGAATATGTGGATACTTGTAGGGTCGCACGTTGATCGGTGTCGTGCCGGGCTGTAGAATAATGGCATGGTCACGGCCGCAGCTCGGTGGTAACCCCCAGGCCACTCGAAGACTTGCCGGTACTGCTGCACTACCTCCACAAGGGGCGGTGGAATAACAGCTTGTGTATTCCCACTTTCCACGGTAATGCATCCCCACTCCAACAACACCTCTTCTTCCTGCTCACGAAATGCCTTAACCATTGCCTTCAGTGCCATGGAGTTGCATAGCTCGGGTCCCCTTGAAGGGTAACCGCTACCCCCCCAGGCGGAACTTCATTGTCAACGTCTTCCAATTCACTTGCATCCCTCCCAAGGATTCCAGCCACTGCATTCCCAAAATAAGATCAGCACTACCTAGTTCTAAGGGTAGGAAGTCTACGATGATTTCTATGTTTTAGAGGGTTAAAACGACCCCCTTACACATTCCTTCCCCTTTTACTGTCATCCCTGCCCCCATCAGCACGCCGTAGCAGTTAGTTCCCACCTTTGAAATTCCTAATTTCTCAACCAACGCTATTGAGATGAAGTTATGGATGGCTCAACAATCGATCATTACCACCACTTCTTGCTGGCCGATACTCCCCCTTACTTTCATTGTCTTCGGGGTGGTGAGGCCAACTACGGAATTAATGGACAATTCCACGGTCTCACAGATCTCCTCCGCGTTGTCAATGTGCTCTTCCCTCTCTGCCTCGTCACTCTCCCCCACATTGATCTCGTCGTTATTCATTAGGATGTGGAGTTCCTTGTTTTTGCACCGATGGCCGAATGAATATTTCTCATCACAGCGGAAACAGAGTCCCATGTCCTTTTTAGCTTGTAATTCCGCATGTCATTTTTTTAAATGGAAGGGTGGGTTTCTGACCTGGCGGCTGGGGCCTTGACACCTGGGGCTTTGGGATTGAAGGGAGCTGCACAGTTGGATTGGCATATGGGCCTCCACCCGAAGTCCTAGGCCATGGCCCCGTCAAAACGGCCCTGTTTGGACGGAGTGTGTTGTTCCAGTCCTCCACTCGTTGCGCATACTCCATGATTCGGGTCAACCCAACGGGGTTAGCTAAAACGGACCTCCGCTCGAATTTCCAGTTTCAGCCCGTTAATAAAAGTACTCCATCACCTTCTTTGAAACCTCACTCAGCGACAAAGCTAAGAGCTCGAACCACCGACTGTACTCCCGCACCGACTCCTCCTGGTGGAGGGCCAAGAACTTTTCGCAAGTGGACCCCTCCTGGGTTAAACGGAACCGGTCTAGCACATTGGTCTTCAACTTCAGCCAGCTACGAATCGGTCTCCGTCCATCCGCCCATTGGAACCATGCTAACGCCTCCCCTTCCATGCAGATCCCTGTTGCCTGCAACTTCTCGGGCTCCGTCAATCGGTTGATTGCGAAGTAGCGCTCCGCTCGGAACAACTAGCCCTCCGGATTCTCCCCGTCGAACACCGGCATCTCCATCCGGTGCATGCATGGCTTGCCACGTTACGCTTCCAGTCGATCCATTCCCGTAAGTCCACCAGAACGACCTACCTCCCCAACGCCAGTCGCTAACCCCTGGTTTGAGAACACCGGTTGAAGCAATTTTCCTGTGTTCCTCATACGTCCCCGTGCGCGACGGATCCTCCAACTTCTGGAGCGCCTGCTCCATGCGGTCGAGCCCGACATGCGCGCCACGATGGTGTCCATGCTTCTCTCCAGAACCGCGAGGCGCTGTCGATCTCCTCGGATCTCTCGCAACTCCCGTTGAAGCTCCCCCGTGTCTACCTCCTCCCCTAGTGCTTGCTCCCCTTCCAACCGATCCTCCACCACCTCTCCGCGGACCCCAGTTCTTCAGTTCACCATCTCCCACTCGTCTCGCGCTGATACCAGATGATAAGTACCAACTAAGAGAATAGCAAGATGATAGAGAAGTAAATTGGAAGTTGTATTAATGGAATCACAAATTGGAAAGATAGAAAGTACAGGGAAAAGTAAGATATTGAGCTTTCGAGAGGCTCAATTCTCTCCCAGAGGAAGTACTCCACTCAACTCACCGATTGCCTGCCTCTTCGCTCGCCTCTTCGCTCGCCACTTCCCCTTTTATTCCCTTACAACTAATTTCCCTCACTAACTAACACAGATCCCAATGACTCGACAATTTCCCAAATTGGCCTCAAAGTACCAACTGATTCCCCCTCTCACGTGCTTGGCACGTTTGGTGTAAGTGAACCAAATGGGAGGCTTAACAGTATATGCGTGAGTATGCATGTTATGTCATTTGTGAATACGCGTTTGGTATTTTGCCATACATATGAAACTTCATTTTCCCCCTCGCAAATTCAGGCACTGTATACCATTATCGTCATCACTTATGGACCATCCTTTACATCTCTAAGTGCTTAGTCTTTTTACCATAAATGTTTTCAATAATTTCTAGGTCGCCGATGCCCCACAAAAACGCAAGAAAGGTGTGTTTGGGACTAAAGGTGGTGACAAAGAGGTAATGTATACACTTAAGACTTATGAATGTTGTTAATTCCTCTATGTTATATTGATTTGTTTTCTTCTTTGAGATATCTAAAATTTTGTGTGTGAAAAATTATACTTTTAGTTCATCATTCGGAGCAATTTACAATACGCTGCCCTAAGTGCTTTGAGAAGGCTTCCTCTGGATCCAGGGAATCCAGCATTTCTGCATCGAGCAGCACAGGGGTAAATTTGTTTTCCCCGTTATGTGTTTTCTTGGAATTTGATTGTATGCCAAGCTGTGTTGAATGTCGGTTGAGTCATTGTGGTCATAAACGTCTTTATAGCTTTGAATTTGGGTTGGAGCACTTTTATCTAATATGCCTTTTATTTCTTGTTTTAGTTGAATCCTTTTTGTTGAGCTCTTTTTGTGCAATATATCTATACTTGTTCATGTCTTCCACATGCTTCTGCTTTAGCTATTTCAGATTTCACCCTTTATGGCTTCTATCTTGAATATTGGTGCGCTTTGTATATGAGTACAGTGTCTCATTTGCTGACCCTGTTGCTGTGAGGCATTCGTTGGAAATTCTCTCCGAGCTAGCTACAAGAGACCCCTACGCAGTTGCAATGGCCTTAGGTAGCTTGGTTAAATCAAACATGTTAAGTTTTGTTAGATTCCCTGATACTTCCTCACATGAAATGAATATTTTTCACTTATTGATTTAGGTTTTATGTTATCTTTACTATGCAGGGAAACTTGCACAGCCTGGAGGTATTTTTTGTGTCTGGTTTTCTACTTCTATGCAGTTTTGACACGTATCTCGTGTTATCCATTGATGTGCTTTAATACTGTACCACCTAACTCTAATACGCAATTGTGATGCTTTTGTTATACTGACAGGGGCTCTGCAAGATGTTCTGCACTTGCACGATGTTCTTGCAAGAGTTGCATTAGCTAGATTGTGCCATACAATATCCCGGGCTCGAGCACTAGATGGTAACTGAACCCAAAATACATTTGGGATTTATTTCCTTGAAATATTTTATTTGATTAGTTTCCTAAACTTATTATTTTTACAGAGAGGCCTGATATTAAATCTCAGTTCAACTCCGTGCTCTATCAACTCCTTCTTGATCCCAGTGAAAGGGTTTGTTTTGAGGCAATCTTATGCGTATTGGGAAAGCATGAAAATGCAGAGAGGTTTTTCATTGTCCTCTAATTGTTTGCACCTTCCTTTTGTTATATTTTGATTCTTTCTTTTAGTTTTAGGAGATATAGTCGGTTATTGTTCTTTTCATGTCACTGCTTTCAATTACCAGCTTTACCCGATTCACTTGGATGTGACATAATGCAGGCCTGAAGAGCGAGCTGCTGGGTGGTTCCGTTTAACTAGGGAGATTCTGAAGTTGCCTGAAGCACCGTCTCTGAAGGAAACCTCCAAAGATAAAACTCAAAAGACAAGGCGTCCACAACCTCTTATAAAGCTTGTAATGAGAAGGTTGAACATGCTTCTCGCCCTCTCCTTTCTTGGTCCCTCCCTTCCTCATGGATGTTATGCGGACCTGAATGACTATTAAAAATTTGGGAGCCTGGTTGACTATTTCAAGTTTGGGGTTAATTCTGTTTAATTTAGCGTCTTTATTATTATTATTATTATTAATTATTATTGTTAATGGAATTTTGTGATTTATTTTTGTCCCTGTTCTTTATTCAGGCTGGAGAGTTCTTTCCGTAGTTTCTCCCGGCCAGTACTTCATGCGGCAGCAAGAGTTGTGCAGGAGATGGGGAAAAGTCGCGCAGCTGCATTTGCTTTAGGCATACAGGACATTGATGAAGGGGTACATATTAATGCATTTGCTGAGTCAGCAGATTCACACGATTCAGATAGTGCTGAAACTTCACATTCTGAAAGTAAGTCTTTTTTGTTTATGTTTATTACTCCATATCTTGCTTTGTACCCCCACATTCTGGTTGTAGTCCCTTAATCCTTTTTTTTTTCATCCACCTAGGTGTCCTGAGAACCTCCTCCATATCTAACGGAACTGGTGGCAAGGATACGATTGCAAGCTTGCTAGCATCTTTGATGGAAGTGGTGCGGACAACTGTAGCATGTGAATGTGTTTATGTTCGAGCAATGGTTATTAAAGCTCTGATCTGGATGCAGAGTCCACATGATTCATTCGATGAACTGAAATCCATTATTGCATCAGAGCTTTCTGATCCATCTTGGCCAGCCACACTCCTAAATGATGTTTTACTTACGTTGCATGCTCGTTTCAAGGTATGAAATTGCACACATACATATTCCTCTTAAGTTTCTCTTTTGCATGGATGCCATGTATTTAAGCTTCCAACATTTTATTTCTTATTTTATTTGTATTTCCGTAGGCAACTCCAGATATGGCTGTCACTCTTCTTGAAATTGCAAGGATCTTTGCTACCAAAGTTCCAGGGAAGATTGATGCCGATGTATTACAACTACTGTGGAAAGTAGGTTTTACTCTAGCTCATCATAATTACCATTCACTTGAATTTAATTTCACTGTGTTTTAGTGCTCTTGCTTCCTGTTAGATTAAAGTTTTATTATGGTGTCCTTGGTTCTACACGAAACAAATTGGTTCCTACTTTGTATACTATTTCTGCTTATTTAGCGGGTTTCATCCGTGTTTATCCGTTCACCTATCCTTTCGCAATTTCCTTCTCTTCTTTTCGTTGCATGGTGTTCCTATCATGTCTAAAATTTCTTTAACTTTATACTGGAGTTATTCGTTTCAGACAAAAGATGCTCGTTTTATGGGTATAGTGAAATTGATAATTGGGAGAACTTTGTTCATACAATCTTCAATTTGTCTTTCCATCTCCAGACATGCCTCGTTGGAGCTGGTCCTGATGGGAAGCACACTGCTTTAGAGGCAGTTACCATAGTTCTTGACCTACCACCACCACAACCTGGCTCAATGTTGGGGTTAACATCTGTAGATAGAGTATCAGCATCAGATCCGAAGTCAGCTCTGGCATTACAGAGATTAGTGCAAGCGGCAGTAAGTATATACATTGATGCCTCTTGCGCTTTTACTGTTCATTAATTGTACCATTAGCATTTATATGTTTCTTTCGGAACAAATATATTTGCAGGTATGGTTTCTGGGAGAAAATGCAAACTATGCTGCTTCAGAATATGCCTGGGAATCTACAACTCCTCCCGGCACTGCATTGATGATGCTAGATGCTGATAAAATGGTTGCTGCCGCTAGTTCTCGTAACCCCACTCTAGCTGGTGCATTGACTCGACTCCAAAGGTGTGCATTCAGTGGGAGCTGGGAGGTATAATCTTTTACTAAGTGTTGCCTCGTCAGTTATTTGTTTACTATCAGTATCTTAGGTGATAATAGGGTGAATGTAACATTGTTTACGCCAACTTGCCCTCTTACTGTTATGGGATTGGTTATTGTAAGTTTAGAGATTGGGAATCTGGTATCCAAGAAAGTGTAACACGTGACTATCACGATGTTAAAAAATTTGTTGGTTAGATTTGCCTCTCTTAGATGTTCTTGGTTTATATGCAACTCCAGGTTAGAATTATTGCCGCTCAAGCTCTTACAACCATGGCGATTAGGTCTGGCGAGCCTTATAGGCTACAGATCTATGAATTCTTGCACACTTTAGCTCAGGGTGGTGTCCAGTCTCAACTATCTGAGATGCATCTCAGTAACGGGGAAGATCAAGGGGCCAGTGGCACAGGCCTTGGAGTTTTGATCAGTCCCATGATTAAGGTTCTTGATGAAATGTATAGAGCGCAAGATGATTTAATCAAGTGAGTGTGAAGGTCTTTTTCTCCTTTTTCTTTTTGGTGTGTTAATATCTTCTAGTAATGGAAAGTTTCATTTCTGGGTATCAGGGATATTCGTTACCATGACAATGCAAAAAAAGAATGGACAGATGAAGAACTCAAGAAACTATATGAAACCCATGAAAGGTTGCTTGATCTTGTTTCTCTGTTTTGTTACGTCCCTAGAGCAAAGTATCTTCCTTTGGGGCCAATAAGGTGAGGATTATTTAGCAGAACATTTGTGTTTCTATTTTAGGACTAAAACTTTGATAAGGAGACCCCTTCAGATACATAATAGCCTTTGGTGCATGGTTATGCATGTACTTTCATCCTAATAAGGTTCTGTATTTACAATTTTCTTTTGCAATGATGATAATTTTCATCTATTCTCCAGCGGAAAACTGATTGGCATCTATCGCACAAAGCACAATATCAGTGCATCAACTGGTTTGAGTGATCCAGCTGTTGCTACTGGAATTTCCGATCTTATCTATGAATCATCTAAACCAGCACATGCTGAGCCAGATGCACTTGATGACGACCTAGTAAATGCATGGGCAGCAAATCTCGGTGATGATGGATTGTTTGGAAATAATGCACCAGCCATGAACAGGGTAAAAATTTGGTCATCCTATATTCAAGTCCAAATTTGTTCATCTAGAAAACAAGATATCTGAAATGCTTTCTATTACTACTACAATGTTCTTTGACCTGAGGTTGGATTAGTGTCGGAATATGCATTCTGGTGCTTAAAGTTTGCGTATTTAACTTATTTCCCTTTGATTTTTGTTCTAGGTTAATGAATTTCTTGCTGGCGCTGGAACTGATGCTCCTGATGTTGATGAAGAAAATATTATCTCTAGACCTTCTGTTAGTTATGATGATATGTGGGCAAAGACACTTTTAGAGACTTCAGAAATAGAGGTACGTGTTTTCGCAAAGTCCTGTTGGGCATGGTACAATATTTGGAAGTTGGAATATTGATTTTATTATGTATCTTTACAGAGAATTCCTGATCAAAACTCCTGTTGTTCACTAGCTAGATTCGTCTGATTTGCAGGAAGATGATGCAAGATCTGGGTCATCATCCCCAGACTCGACGGGATCAGTTGAAACTTCGATATCTTCTCACTTTGGAGGAATGAACTACCCTTCACTCTTCAGTTCAAAGCCGGTACAGCCAAAGCTTTTTTTCTGATTTTAGATCACTCTGTTTATATACTTTTTTTTCATGCTCTTCTCCTGATCCACTGAGCTCCAAAAACCAATATGCTTCTTTTATGCTCGAAGATTAATAAACTTAGATTGAATTCAACTTTTAACAAAGTCCCACTTATCATGGGATTTAACAATCTGCCATCCATCTGACTGGTTTCTATTTTTATTCGGTGATTGATTGATGGTCTGTCATTATCTAACAGGAGAGGTCAGGAGGAAGCAGATTTAGCAATCCGTCTACTGGCGGGCCCTCATTATACGAGGGTCTAGGTTCTCCTGTATACCTCATTGCCACTTATCTATCTAGTTTGAATCCATCAACTCAGTTGATATACTAATTCAGTTATTCTTGGAACCTTTCCAGATTAGAGAAGAGCCCCCGCCATACTCATCACCTGTCAGGCAAAGGTTTGAGTCATTTGAGAATCCTCTAGGTTCACGAGGGTCCCAAAGCTTTGGATCTCAAGATGAAGAGCG